CTGATGGATTCGACACTTGATCCTGAATCGGATCTCATCGTTTGCCGGCACAATCTCTATCAAATTCTATGTCGTGCGACACGCTAACTGGGCCAGAAGTGGCCGACCCATTCACCCATCGTCGAGGGTCGTCCACGTCCTTCCCTCCTCTCTCAGTATGACTGCTAGCCCGTTCACTTTTTCGTGGCATTGTTCACTCGAATTTCCACTCCTTTCCACGCCGGATTCAACTTGGATTCGACACAAAAAATGACCGTGTCACTAAATTTATTCTCTGGCTAACCCGTATTTATATCTAATTCTTGTTCTAGATCAGTGGTTCCCAACCTGAGGTCTCCGGACCCCTGGGGTTCTGTGTAGGTTATACCATTTCATTAAACAATTAAGTTTTTAATACTGATGGTTTTTTTAATTGCACACTCAGTTATATATGACTTTTATTTGATAGTGAAAAGTGGGAGCACGAGTTAATTATTAGTTAATAAAAACAGTTTGTTGGTAGGCGGAATATTTCAAAAACATGGGATCCGTGTTGGGGGGGGATTATAATAAAAGGGGTCCTTGGTGGAGAAAAGGTTGGAAACCACTGTTCTAGATTATTAGCAAAGCTTCTAGGCATGGACTCCCATAGAAATAATTTCGGGGGGGGGGGCAAAACATGTACGTAGGGAATCAGCTTTTACAGTGTAAGTCAACAAACTAAAATAATATGTGTTATGTGTACTTAAATGTAAACACAAATTTACAGTTTTAATTGAAATTACTAAAAATATTTAGTTTAATTACGACGTTAAATTTACATCATAATACGTGTAATTTTTTATGAAATGTAAGGGGGCAAATGCTTCCTCTTGCCCCTTCCTGCGGGCGCCTATGCCTTTAGGTTTTAGTGACGTCAATGTAGAATATTCTAGGTTTGCTCTTATAATCTCACTTGATCTTAACTTCATGCGCCCTGTAGTTAACATCTGAATTACAACATAAATATATAGCTTATAAAATACATATATAAGCATTATATAAGTGAGCCTTCCAACAGTATAGCGGGAAATCTGAGTGCATATAACGATAGAAATTAGGTTCCGATACCTATGGTTGGCTCAGTACAGCTAGCTAATTGTGTGGCTTTGCGCCTAACAACAAACAAACACTCGAATGAACAAATAAAAAACAAAAATTTCATAATAGAAAGCTCACTAAAAGAAATCACCTTAAATATCTATTGTTGTTAGCTTAGCGCAAAACTATGCACTGGACTATCTGCCTATCTGCAGGGAATTGAACGCTGGATTTTAACATTGCAAAGCCTTAGACTTATCGCTCACGTACTGAGAGATACCTTAACGCGCATTTATAGTGAAAAAAATGTTAATGAGAAACAACCAGAGAATTATGGGGAGCAATAAATAAACAAGAGATTCAAAAAATGATATTCAATATAAATAAAAGCAAAATTGTTGTTAGTTTTCTAAAATTAGAAATCAGTAACGAACTGTAACGTATGAAGTTACCACCATATTGTTACGTATCTGCTCGTATATTAATTTCCGGTATAAATTCTTTCCGAGGAACTTCAGAGATACAAGTCCTTTCTTAATTAAAACTAGTTTATTCTTTCTCGGTATAACTTTGTAATACACAGCATTTCCACAGTCACTTTAACTTAACTACTTTTATAAACTCACGCTCACCTACTGGTGCCTTACGGTGCCTACTGTTCGCATAACTCAATTATCTATCTATATCTCTGCAATTCTATCTTTTTTCCGCTGGCTTTATTTGCCGGGCTTATATACTAAAAAAGAGGGCGCCTGGAACAAACTAGAGTTGCCAGGAAATTTCACGATCCTTCTAGAAACTCCAGCGCGTATGCTCCTAGAGTTGCGTGACTTCCGCTATCGTAACAATATTAATACAATGTGTCAGTCAACTAATTTACTACAAGAGTAACATAAACAACAAATTTATTAAACGTGATACAAGTTTTACAAATTTCAAAAATCAGTAAGTTAATAAATCTTTCCGGCCAGGACTTTGTAATTAAATATCTCAATCTGAAACACAAATACAAATATTCAAAAAAGCAAGGCTTTCAATAGCAGATCTCACAAACTAATAATAATAACAATATGAAAGAATTAGGGGGGAAAAAGAGCCAAAAGGAGAAAAAAAAACAACCCTAATACGTAAGATTACACAAGACAATTATATTCGACACTTCTCAACATAATGTTAATTCACCAACAGGCTCACTCAGAGATTCAGACAGACCAGAATCACTTTTATCTTTTGAGGCTCCTGGCTATAATAAAAATAGAAAATGATAACATGTGAAAACAAAATAAGACAATCAACAGCCCAAAAGAAAAGTGAATATTTAATATGTATATATAATTGTCAGTTGAAAGTGTGTCACATTTTGGTCTAGTTGGGAGGCACATAACACTATGAACCATACAATGAAAGAAAACGTATTTCTTTATATCAGAAATATGAAATTGTCCCACATTTGCACCATATCTGGGATCTTTTAGCTCATACACTAGTGGAGATAAATATCTATCAATTTCAAAAGGTCCTTTTCATCTTGGAACACATTTTGTAGTGAAATTATTTACTGCAGAAGATATAGAATGAGCTTTTAATAATACTGTTACGCCTCCGG